TTTAGACTTTAAATTGACTTTCTTTCCCAAAAAAAGATAAAGCTAAGTGTAAATTACAGCCATCTTGAAGTACAGTTAAATTACGAAAAAATCCATTTTGTTTTGGTAATTACAACCATTCCTTCAACCATGATTTTTTCTTAAATGTCCACTCTCATGGTGTCAAATTCAACGCAATCTTCTAGATTCTATGGAATGTTCTGTAGTTTATACTCGTTTTGAGCAAAAATGTAATTTCTGATGCACATCAATCTGAGATTTACAAGTCAAGAGACACATCATATAATTATCTTTTTTTCAATATGTGGAGCTCGAATAGTGTAAAATGGGTAGAAACTGGAGAATATTTCACATACTCTAGAAGATTCCACCAAATTTGACACCGCAAGGGCGGACGTATAAGAAGATTCATAGTTGAGAGGTAGTTGTAATTACCCAAACATGAGGGCATTTTTTTCGTAATTTAACCTTACCTCAGAGGGTGGTCGTAATTTACCCATCAAATACAATACAAATGGCCATATTTTTTTTTTCAAAGAAACATATTTTACCAAACATTCTTACTGTTTTTTTTTTTCCAAAAAAACCCAATTCATTGTGTGAGATAGTCAAGAAAAGAAGGTCAAGTATGAAACATATATATCATGAAAGATGAAACATAGGATGTCTAATCCAACATTAAATTACATTGATGCAGAAACGGAACCATGCCTCTAGCCATTTAAGAAAATTAATTCTTCAATTAAGATTGATAAGTAGATATTTAGTATAACTACTAGCACTAAATTGATCGATGTTGTTCCGATATTTATACGGCATGGATGGTGTATCTTAATTCTTACATATGCAGAAAGTGAAAACTAAGGTTGTGAGAGGAACCTGCAACCCCGTGTGGAACGAGGAGCTCACTATTTACATTAAGGACCTCGATGTTCCTATCGTTCTGGTAATTACCATTAAATTAATTCCAACTATATAATTATATATATGTATACTTACACATTATAGTATAAATGTAGTGTGTGTTCGACAAAGACACGTTCACGGTGGATGACAGCATGGGAAGAGCAGAAATAGACATAAAACCATTGATAGAATGTCTGAGGATGGGATTGGAAGGCCTGCCAGATGGCACTAAAGTTGACAGGGTTCAGCCGAGTAAAGAGAATTCCTTAGCCGACGAGAGCTGTATTATTTGGAACAAAGGCGGCAAAATGACGCAAGACATGCTTCTCAGACTTGACGACGTCGAGTGCGGTCAAATTGAGATCCAAATCGAATGGATTCAACTTCCCGGTAACAAAGGTCTCTAAAGAACTTAATACTTTGTCTGAAACAAAAACGATAATGAGTTGATTAGGTATGCAACATAAATAAGAGTGCTTGCATTCCTTGGTGATTTATGTATAAACCTTCATTTTTACGAAACTTGTATATTTTTGTTTGTTTTCCATATGTAATTTATCGACTTTCATGCATGTTTTGCCCTTTCTTAAGTCCATGTATCTCATGTAATGGGGGTTAATTCCCATGCTATTGTTCGGGGGGGAAAACGTGTTATAGTAACAGGTTCGAGACTTGAGATTTTGTGAAATATATCAGTTGGAATGTGATGGGGTGGTTGTTTAAAAAAAATGCGATCATTGGAAATAAAAATTGAAATGTTGAAAAAATATCATTATATAAAAATTGAGTTCGATTCAGAAATCTGAATTTATTTTTTCTGGTTGTCCGATCCCGTCAACTCCTTCATTGATGATGGTGAGACTATGGTATCACAAAGTACATCTCATCACTCAGTTTATTGACATCACATGTGCATAACTTTAACAAAAGACGGAGAGAGACGTTCACTATAGCATTACTTTAACATGACCCTGTTTCACTCCGAATCTTTCTTCACCGTCCCTAGGATGAACATAAACCCGCCTAACCTGACCCGTTCGCCCGACCCGAGCCGACCCGCCCGAAACCCGCAAATTTCACCTATAAAATTTTGTCTAGCAGTTTGGTTTTGTGTACACCCGAGTATAATGTGTCGGTTGGCTAGTTCGACAATTAAAACCCGCAACCCGCCCGCAAATAGCCCATATGGTTCAAGTAAACAATGTATATTACACCTACTTATCTGCCCCAAAAAATAACCATTTGAGGATTTCTTAAGATAAAAACAAAAAGGCATGAAATAGAGTCGGTGGGAAATTAGAAGTAAAAACAAGAGGGAGTAGAGCCTGTAGGCCATTTTACTGTGAATAAGTAGTCTTTTGTTTGGAAGAAATGTAACTTGAAAGACACGGTTTTGAATTCCACGGGTTTTTTTTGTTACAACTTTTGTTGGCATTGCATATTTGTTCCACCGTCCGCCACCCGCCCGCCACCCGCCTCACCCAAACCAACCCGAACCGTGCGGTTTTGGACTATAAATTGGTAGTTGCAGTTTGCTTGTATTTTTTACCGAAACCCACCCAAACCCGCCCGTGTTCACCCCTTGTCCGTACCCATCAAAATAGGGAAGTTTTAGATCAATCTATTGGCTTTCAATAGCTCGGACATATAATGAGAGAGGTATAGCCCAAATGACAAATTAGAATTTGAAATGCATGGAATTTTGTTTAGATGGTGGATGTATTTTGATATTTATAGTTCAACATTAGTAGAAAAAAAATATTTATTGATTTGAACATACTTAATCGCCCGATGGTTTGCAAATGAAGTATCTATTTCTATTTATCAATGTTTTGAAAACCGGACCGGACATCGACCCGGTCAAGTTACTGGGTCACGGTTGGACCGGTCCGACCGGGGTCCAACCGGGTTTTTAAAAAAAAATTTATCTAATTATTTTATTAATTAAATAACTTAAATATAATATATTTATATGTTTTTTTTATATCTTTTTCCCACTTAGGGACTAATTACTCAACTTTTTGGCTTTTTAATAAAAAAGATTTTTTTTTCTTATTACTCTTTTCTCTCTCCCCTCTCTTCTCTCTCCTCTCTCTTCTTTCTTCTTTCTTCTTTCTTCTTTCTTTCTTCTTCCGTCTGCTTCTTCCTCTTCACGGTTCACGCAGGTCTCCCAACATATGCCCTCTCTTCTTCCCTTCCTTTTTCTCCATTTATTTTTTCTTTCTTCTCTCATTTTCCACACATACAGAGATTTTTATCCACTTTTTTCTTTTGATTATTTTTTTCTTTATTTTCATTTTCACCTCCTCCTTTTTTTTTCCTCCAGTCACATTACATATGACCCAAATCCGATTAGATCCGTTCACCCACAGCCTTTTCCGGCAAGATCCAGTCACCGATGACCACCATCGACGCAGATCCGGCAATAATTTTTTTTTAAGCTAAAACCCGGTTCTTGAACCGGTTTCCGGGTTTCCCGGTTCTTACCGGTCGAACCCGGTTTTTGGTAGTTGACCCGGGTTTTTGGCCATTTTGGGTTTTCACTGATAACCGGACCGGACATGGCAGCGGTTCGCGGTTAAACCGGTCGGACCGGCCGGTCCGGTCCGGTTTTCAAAACATTGCTATTTATATTATTTCACCATCTCAATGGACGGGTTGATCAAGATAAGATTATATGGGTTCATAATTCCAAAAACTTTTTACATGATATTCTAATGCAGATGTTTCTAGTAAGTCTTTAGATAATGATTAAGTATGAACAAGTCTCATATGGTCGTTTATAAGGATAATTATATTTTTCGTGCCAGGAAAACTCTTTAAACTCTATAAAATATCCCTCTAAAAATATTTCTGAAATTACAACATATGTTTAATTATTTTTTTACATATTAAGAGCATCTACGATTGGTCGTTATATTGCCATTTTTTCGTCTAATTTAGGTGTTTTTAGCCTCCCACCCGAAATTCCTATATTACCATTACACCTAAAATTATCGAGATTTGGTTTTAGCATACCACCGTGGTCAACCCCCATATAAACATATACTCAAATTCTATTTTTCCACCAAATGTTTTGGTGAAGGAATTTTCATCTCCCACTGGTCCACATTTTTCATATTTTTATAACCAAATCCTATTTTTCCTACCAAATATATAGGTGGAAATATGATTTGGTGTAATTAACACCATTTTGTTAAGTAGCATATTAAATAACGATTTTAACTAATTGCACCTGATTACCAACTTATTAGCATATTTATCGTAAATACTAGGGGTGTGCACGAGCCGAGTTCGCCTCATTTGGGAGGCTCGAGCTTGAACTCGATTCTATTTTGCCGAGCTCGAGCTCGAGCCTAAGCTCATTTTGTAGGTTTTTTTAATATTTTTTAATTATTATATTTATTATTTGTAAAAATTATTTAAAAAAATACAAAATAAACAATAAATTGTAATTATATATATATATATATATATATATATATATATATATATATATATATATATATATATATATATATATATAG